GAGAGGGCTTGGACATGCTTTCATATGCCAACAGCAATACCGCAGCCTGAATCAATGCCCGAGACGGATGGCTTGGTACCTCTACCGTGTCTGCCTGCCTGGCACACATACTTCCAAATACCCACCTCCGAAGCGGTTGGCTCCAGAACCGGAGCAGCGGGTATCCCGGGTGCCACTGGTTGCTGCGATGCCGTTGAGGGACCAAGAGGGACGTACACAGAGGGATCGAGTTGGTGAGGGCTTGGACATGTTTTCATGTGAGAATTGGGACACCGTAGCCTGAATCAATGCCCGATATGGTTGATTTGGTACTTCTACCACGCCCCCCTGTCTAGCCCGCATAACAACAAACACACACCTCCGGAGCGGTTGGCGCCAGAACCGGAGCCGCGGGTGTCCTGGATGCCACTGGTTGCTGCAATGCCGTGGAGGGATCAAGAGGGACGAACGCCCGGGGATGGAGTTGGAGAGGGCTTCTGCATGTTTTGAGATGAGAATAGGGACACCGTAGCCTGAACCAATGCCCGATATGTTTCGATTTCGTACTTCCACCACGTCCCACTCTCTACAGTAGCCCTAAAATCACCGAATACCCACCACCAAAGCGGTTGGCGCCAGAACCGGAGCAGCGGGTGTCCCGGGTGCCACTGGTTGCTGGGATGCCGTGGATGAATCAAGAGGGACGAACAAAGGGCGATCGAGTTGGAGAGGGCCTGGACATGTGTTTATATGAGAACAGGGGCACCGCACCCTGACGCTATTCCCGGTACGGTTGATTTAATGCTTCTACCACGTCCCGCTGTCTAGCCCCCAATAAAACAAATACCCACCTCCGAAGTGCTTGGCGCCAGAACCGGGGCAGCGGGTATCCCGGGTGCCACTGGTTGCTGCGATGCCGTGGAAGGATCAAGAGGGACGTACACAGAGAGATAGAGGTGGAGAGGGCTTGGACATGTTTTCATGTGAGAATTGGGACACCGTAGCCTGAATCAATGCCCGATATGTTTCGATTTCGTACTTCCACCACGTCCCACTCTCTACAGTAGCCCTAAAATCACCGAATACCCACCACCAAAGCGGTTGGCGCCAGAACCGGAGCAGCGGGTGTCCCGGGTGCCACTGGTTGCTGCGATGCCGTTGAGGGACCAAGAGGGACGAACATAGAGGGATCGAGTTGGAGAGGGCCTGGACATGTTTTTATATGAGAACAGGGGCACCGCACCCTGACCCTATTCCCGGTATGGTTGATTTAATGCTTCTACCACGTCCCGCTGTCTAGCCCCCAATAAAACAAATACCCACCTCCGAAGTGCTTGGCGCCAGAACCGGGGCAGCGGGTATCCCGGGTGCCACTGGTTGCTGCGATGCCGTGGAGTGATCAAGAGAGACGAATACCGGAGGATGGAGTTGGAGAGGGCTTGGACATGTTTTCATGTGAGAATTGGGACACCGTAGCCTGAATCAATGCCCGATATGGTTGATTTGGTACTTCTACCACGCCCCCCTGTCTAGCCCGCATAACAACAAACACACACCTCCGGAGCGGTTGGCGCCAGAACCGGAGCAGCGGGTGTCCTGGATGCCACTGGTTGCTGCAATGCCGTGGAGGGATCAAGAGGGACGAACGCCCGGGGATGGAGTTGGAGAGGGCTTCTGCATGTTTTGAGATGAGAATAGGGACACCGTAGCCTGAACCAATGCCCGATATGTTTCGATTTCGTACTTCCACCACGTCCCACTCTCTACAGTAGCCCTAAAATCACCGAATACTCACCACCAAAGCGGTTGGCGCCAGAACCGGAGCAGCGGGTGTCCCGGGTGCCACTGGTTGCTGCGATGCCGTTGAGGGACCAAGAGGGACGAACATAGAGGGATCGAGTTGGAGAGGGCCTGGACATGTTTTTATATGAGAACAGGGGCACCGCACCCTGACCCTATTCCCGGTATGGTTGATTTAATGCTTCTACCACGTCCCGCTGTCTAGCCCCCAATAAAACAAATACCCACCTCCGAAGTGCTTGGCGCCAGAACCGGGGCAGCGGGTATCCCGGGTGCCACTGGTTGCTGCAATGCCGTGGAAGGATCGAAAGGGACGTACACAGAGAGATAGAGGTGGAGAGGGCTTGGACATGTTTTCATGTGAGAATTGGGACACCGTAGCCTGAATCAATGCCCGATATGGTTGATTTGGTACTTCTACCACGCCCCCCTGTCTAGCCCGCATAACACCAAACACACACCTCCGGAGCGGTTGGCGCCAGAACCGGAGCCGCGGGTGTCCTGGATGCCACTGGTTGCTGCAATGCCGTGGAGGGATCAAGAGGGACGAACGCCCGGGGATGGAGTTGGAGAGGGCTTCTGCATGTTTTGAGATGAGAATAGGGACACCGTAGCCTGAACCAATGCCCGATATGTTTCGATTTCGTACTTCCACCACGTCCCACTCTCTACAGTAGCCCTAAAATCACCGAATACCCACCACCAAAGCGGTTGGTGCCAGAACCGGAGCAGCGGGTGTCCCGGGTGCCACTGGTTGCTGCGATGCCGTTGAGGGACCAAGAGGGACGAACATAGAGGGATCGAGTTGGAGAGGGCCTGGACATGTTTTTATATGAGAACAGGGGCACCGCACCCTGACCCTATTCCCGGTATGGTTGATTTAATACTTCTACCACGTCCCGCTGTCTAGCCCCCAATAAAACAAATACCCACCTCCGAAGTGCTTGGCGCCAGAACCGGGGCAGCGGGTATCCCGGGTGCCACTGGTTGCTGCGATGCCGTGGAGTGATCAAGAGAGACGAACACCGGAGGATGGAGTTGGAGAGGGCTTGGACATGCTTTCATATGCCAACAGCAATACCGCAGCCTGAATCAATGCCCGAGACGGATGGCTTGGTACCTCTACCGTGTCTGCCTGCCTGGCACACATACTTCCAAATACCCACCTCCGAAGCGGTTGGCTCCAGAACCGGAGCAGCGGGTATCCCGGGTGCCACTGGTTGCTGCGATGCCGTTGAGGGACCAAGAGGGACGTACACAGAGGGATCGAGTTGGTGAGGGCTTGGACATGTTTTCATGTGAGAATTGGGACACCGTAGCCTGAATCAATGCCCGATATGGTTGATTTGGTACTTCTACCACGCCCCCCTGTCTAGCCCGCATAACAACAAACACACACCTCCGGAGCGGTTGGCGCCAGAACCGGAGCCGCGGGTGTCCTGGATGCCACTGGTTGCTGCAATGCCGTGGAGGGATCAAGAGGGACGAACGCCCGGGGATGGAGTTGGAGAGGGCTTCTGCATGTTTTGAGATGAGAATAGGGACACCGTAGCCTGAACCAATGCCCGATATGTTTCGATTTCGTACTTCCACCACGTCCCACTCTCTACAGTAGCCCTAAAATCACCGAATACCCACCACCAAAGCGGTTGGCGCCAGAACCGGAGCAGCGGGTGTCCCGGGTGCTACTGGTTGCTGGGATGCCGTGGACGAATCAAGAGGGACGAACAAAGGGCGATCGAGTTGGAGAGGGCCTGGACATGTTTTGATATGAGAACAGGGGCACCGCACCCTGACCCTATTCCCGGTATGGTTGATTTAATACTTCTACCACGTCCCGCCGTCTAGCCCCCAATAAAATAAATACCCACCTCCGAAGTGCTTGGCGCCAGAACCGGAGCCGCGGGTATCCCGGGTGCCACTGGTTGCTGCGATGCCGTGGAGTGATCAAGAGGGACAAATGCCGGAGCATGTAGTTGGTGAAGGCTTGGACATGCATTCATGTGAGAATTGGGACACCGTAGCCTGAACCAATGCCCGATATGTTTGGATTTGGAACTTCTACCACGTCCGCCCGTCTAGCACACACATATAAGAACTACCCACCTCCGAAGAGGTTGGCGCCAGAACCGGAGCAGCGGGTATCCCGGGTGCCACTGGTTGCTGCGATGCCGTTGAGGGACCAAGAGGGACGAACATAGAGGGATCGAGTTGGTGAGGGCTTGGACACGTTTTCATGTGAGAATAGGGACACCGTAGCCTGAATCAATGCCCGATATGGTTGATTTGGTACTTCTACCACGCCCTCCTGTCTAGCCCGCATAACAACAAACACACACCTCCGGAGCGGTTGGCGCCAGAACCGGAGCCGCGGGTGTCCTGGATGCCACTGGTTGCTGCAATGCCGTGGAGGGATCAAGGGGGACGAACACCCGGGGATGGAGTTGGAGAGGGCTTCTGCATGTTTTGAGATGAGAATAGGGACACCGTAGCCTGAACCAATGCCCGATATGTTTCGATTTCGTACTTCCACCACGTCCCACTCTCTACAGTAGCCCTAAAATCACCGAATACCCACCACCAAAGCGGTTGGCGCCAGAACCGGAGCAGCGGGTGTCCCGGGTGCCACTGGTTGCTGGGATGCCGTGGACGAATCAAGAGGGACGAACAAAGGGCGATCGAGTTGGAAAGGGCTTGGACATGTGTTCATGTGAGAATTGGGACACCGTAACCTGAACCAATGCCCGATATGGTTGATATAGTACTTCTACCACGCCCCCCTGTCTAGGCCACATAATTCCAAATACCCACTTCCGAAGTGGTTGGCGACAGAACCGGAGGAGTGGGTGTACCGGATGATACAGGTTGCTGCGATGCCGTGGAGTGATCAAGAGAGACGAATACCGGAAGATGGAGTTGGAGAGGGCTTGGACATGCTTTCATATGCCAACAGCAATACCGCAGCCTGAATCAATGCCCGAGACGGATGGCTTGGTACCTCTACCGTGTCTGCCTGCCTGGCACACATACTTCCAAATACCCACCACCAAAGCGGTTGGCGCCAGAACCGGAGCAGCGGGTGTCCCGGGTGCCACTGGTTGCTGCGATGCCGTGGAGGGACCAAGAGGGACGAACTTAGAGGGATCGAGTTGGAGAGGGCCTGGAAATGTTTTCATGTGAGAACAGGGGCACCGCACCCTGACCCTATTCCCGGTATGGTTGATTTGGTACTTCTACCACGTCCCGCTGTCTAGCCCCCAATAAAATAAATACCCACCTCCGAAGTGCTTGGCGCCAGAACCGGAGCAGCGGGTATCCCGGGTGCCACTGGTTGCTGCGATGCCGTGGAGTGATCAAGAGAGACGAATACCGGAGGATGGAGTTGGAGAGGGCTTGGACATGCTTTCATATGCCAACAGCAATACCGCAGCCTGAATCAATGCCCGAGACGGATGGCTTGGTACCTCTACCGTGTCTGCCTGCCTGGCAAACATACTTCCAAATACCCACCTCCGAAGCGGTTGGCGCCAGAACCGGAGCAGCGGGTATCCCGGGTGCCACTGGTTGCTGGGATGCCGTGGAGGGACCAAGAGGGACGAACATAGAGGGATCGAGTCGGAGAGGGCCTGGACATGTTTTTATATGAGAACAGGGGCACCGCACCCTGACCCTATTCCCGGTATGGTTGATTTAATACTTCTACCACGTCCCGCTGTCTAGCCCCCAATAAAATAAATACCCACCTCCGAAGTGCTTGGCGCCAGAACCGGAGCAGCCGGTATCCCGGGTGCCACTGGTTGCTGCGATGCCGTGGAGTGATCAAGAGAGACGATTACCGGAAGATGGAGTTGGAGAGGGCTTGGACATGCTTACATATGCCAACAGCAATACCGCAGCCTGAATCAATGCCCGAGACGGATGGCTTGGTACCTCTACCGTGTCTGCCTGCCTGGCACACATACTTCCAAATACCCACCTCCGAAGAGGTTGGCGCTAGACCCGGAGCAGCGGGTATCCCGGGTGCCACAGGTTGCTGCAATGCCGTGGAGGGGCCAAGAGGGACGTACACAGAGGGATCGAGTTGGAGAGGGCTTGGACATGTTTTCATGTGAGAATAGGGACACCGTAGCCTGAATCAATACCCGAGAGGCTTCGATATACTACTTGTACGACGTCCCTTTCGCTACAGCCGCCCAAAATCCACCGAATACCCACCTCCGAAGAGGTTGGCGCCAGAACCGGAGCCGCGGGTATCCCGGGTGCCACTGGTTGCTGCGATGCCGTGGAGTGATCAAGAGGGACAAATGCCGGAGCATGTAGTTGGTGAAGGCTTGGACATGCTTTCATGTGAGAATTGGGACACCGTAGCCTGAACCAATGCCCGATATGGTTGGATTTGGAACTTCTACCACGTCCGCCCGTCCAGCACACACATATAACAACTACCCACCTCCGAAGAGGTTGGCGCCAGAACCGGAGCAGCGGGTATCCCGGGTGCCACTGGTTGCTGCGATGCCGTTGAGGGACCAAGAGGGACGAACATAGAGGGATCGAGTTGGTGAGGGCTTGGACATGTGTTCATGTGAGAATAGGGACACCGTAGCCTGAATCAATGCCCGATATGGTTGATTTGGAACTTCTACCACATCCTGCCGTTAAAGCACACATTCAACACAACTACCCACCTCCGGAGCGGTTGGCGCCAGAACTGGAGCAGCGGGTATCCCGGGTGCCACTGGTTGCTGCAATGCCGTGGAGGGGCCAAGAGGGACGAACACAGAGGGATGGAGTTGGAGAGGGCTTGGACATGTTTTGAGATGAGAATAGGGGGACCGTAGCCTGAACCAATACCGAGAGGCTTCGATATACTACTTGTACGATGTCCCGTTCGCTACAGCAGCCCAAATATTTCCGAATACCCACCTCCGGAGCGGTTGGCGCCAGAACCGGAGCAGCGGGTGTCCCGGGTGCCACTGGTTGCTGCGATGCCGTGGAGTGATCAAGAGTGACGAATGCCGGAGGAAAAAGTTGGTGATGGCTTGGGCATGTTTTGATATGAGAATAGGGACACCGTAGCCTGAATCAATGCGCGATATGGTTGATTGTGTACTTCCACCACGTGCGCGCGTGAGGGACACATTCAACACAATTTCCCACCTCCAGAGCGGCTGGCGCCAGAACCGGAGCGGCGGGTATCCCGGGTGCCACTGGTTGCTGCGATGCCGTGGAGGGATCAAGAGGGACGAACACAGAGGGATCAAGTTGGAGAGGGCTTGGACATCTTTTCATATGAGAATATTCGGAATCGACACCCGAAAGGGTTCGATACACTACTTGTACGACGTCGCTTCGCCACAGCAGCCAAAATATCACCGAACACCAACCTCCGAAGAGGTTGGGGCCAGACCCGGAGCAGCGGGTGTCCCGGGTGCCACTGGTTGCTGCGATGCCGTGGAGTGATCAAGAGTGACGAATGCCGGAGGAAAAAGTTGGTGATGGCTTGGGCATGTTTTGATGTGAGAATAGGGACACCGTAGCCTGAATCAACGCCCGATATGTTTGATTTGGTACCCCTACCACGACCCCCGTCAAGCACACTATCTTTCATTGCAGCTACACACCTCCGGAGCAGTGGGCGGCAGAAATGGAGCAGCGGGTATCCCGGGTGCCACTGGTTGCTGCGATGCCGTGGATGGACCAAGAGAGACAAATGCCGGAGGATCGAGTTGGTGATTTCTTGGACATGTTTTCATATAAAAACATGTACACCGTAGCCTGAATCAATACCGGAGATGGTTGATATGGTACTACTACCACGTCCGCCCGTGAATGACATATTCAACACAATTACCCACCTCCGGAGCGGTTGGCGCCAGAACCGGAGCAGCGGGTATCCGGGGTGCCACTGGTTGCTGCGATGCCGTGGATGGATCAAGAGGGACGAACACAGAGGGATCGAGTTGGTGAAGGCTTGGACATGTTTTCATATGAGAATAGGGACTCCGTAGCCTGAATCAATGCCCGATATGGTTGGATTTGGTTCTTCTACCACATCCTCCCGTGAAGCACACATTCAACACAACTACCCACCTCCGGAGCGGTTGGCGCCAGAACCGGAGCAGCGGCTTTCCCGGGTGCCACTGGTTGCTGCGATGCGGTGGAGGGGCCAAGAGGGACGAACACAGAGGGATCGAGTTGGTGAGGGCTTGGACATGCTTCTTATATGAGAATAGGGACACCGTAGCCTGAACCAATACCCGAGAGGCTTCGATATACTACTTGTACGACGTCCCGTTCGCTACAGCAGCCCAAATATCACCGAATACCCACCTCCGGAGCGGTTGGCGCCAGAACTGGAGCAGTGGGTGTCCCGGGTGCCACTGGTTGCTGCGATGTCGTGGAGTGATCAAGAGAGACGAACGCCGGTGGATCGAGTTGGGCAGAGCTGGGGCGGTTTCGGGATAGAGACGACAGGTACTGTATCCTGAACCCGAGTCCGATACGTTAGGATTTGTTGGTGCCCTCCTGTCTAGCCCACATAACATCGAATACCCACCACCATAACCGTTGGCGCCAGGACCGGAGCAGTGGGTGTCCCGGGTGCGACTGGTGGCTGGGATGCCGTGAAGGGATCAAGAGGAGCGAAAGACGGGGGATGGAAGTGGGGGGTCATATTTTCAGTAGAGAGACGATGGGCACCGCAGCACGAACTCATGTTCGATGCGTTAGGATTTGGTACTTCTACCAGCCATCCTGTCTAGCCCACATAACACTGAAAACCCACCACCGGAGCGTTTGGCGCCAGAACCGGAGAAGTGGGTGTCCCGGGTGCCACAGGTTGCTGCAATGCCGTGAAGGGATCAAGAGGGACGAAGGACGGGGGGTGGCGTTGGGGAGAGCTGAGGTGGTTTCGGGATAGAGACGACGGGTACTGTAGCCCGAACCCGTGTCCGATACGTTTGGATTTGGTTCTTCTACCACGCCCCCTTTTCTAGCAGACATAATGCCGAATACCCACCACCGGAGCACTTGGCGCCAGAACCGGAGCAGCGGGTATCAGCGGTGCCACAGGTTTCTGCGCTGCCGTGCGGATGATGAGCGAACACCGGAGGTGACGGTAAGAATAGCGGGCGTGTGTCCGGGAGAACGACGATGGGTTTTCGGGTATGAACCCGTGTCCGATATGATTTGATTTTGTTATGAACTTTCCACTGTTGATTCTTTGCCTTGCTTGTGACTACAAAAACACCTCAGAGCGCAAAGAAACACACGGCACGTACACGGTTCCGGACGCTCCACACGACACGGTCCCCCATCCCACACACTTAACGCCAAAACCCCACCACCGGAAGGGTTGGCGGTAGAACCGGAGCAGCGGGTGCCCCGGATGCCACAGGTTGCTGCGATGCCGGGGAGGGATGGAGAGGGTGGAACGTCGAGGGTTGCAGTTTGGGAGAGTGGGGGTATTCTAAGAGGGCGAGAATGGGCGCTCTAGCTTGAACCTGTGTCCGACATGATTTGATGTGTTGGTGATACGTGCCATCGGATTTTCCTCGTCGCGGTTTCGGCAACATCAATACTCGAGCGCAAAGAATATCGCACCCTCGCACGCGATACAAGCGCGCCCGCGCGTTAGAACTCTATTGAGCCCGTCCCACCCGCTCAATACCGAAAACTTATGAGTGGATCAGTTGCCGGCAGAACTGGAGCTACGGGTGTCTCGGGTGCCACAGGTGGCTGCGATGCCGTGAGGGCACAAGGAAGGACGAACACCGGGGGTGGAGTGAGGGAGAACGGGGGTATGTTCGGGAGAGCAACAGCAGGCTCCTTCGACGGAACCCATGTACGAGATGATGTGATGGTGGTTTATTGAACCATCGGTGTTTCCTTGGCGTGGTCGACAGAGAGAACACCACTGAGCGCAAAGAAACACGCACGCTCCGAAACAACACGCAAACGGCGGGTGTCGGCGCTGGTGTGATGGCAAGATCAAACACAGAGGTAGCGCTCCGAAAAGTGGTCGTCCTTTTCACAACCCAGCACGTCTACCAAACATGGGAAGGGTGCGTGGGATCGTACCCGCCGTCCACGCGTCGATATGACTCGGACGTACTACACGAAGTAAGCATGTCGTACGTTTGCGGAGGCAACAATCATGACAGCTGACAAGAGTTTCTCCCCAAACGCGGATCATGCAGGGCAGTCGTTCACACGCCCATCAATCTGCCCAGAGAACTGGCGGGCCTCGAAAGGCGGGTCTAACCTCGGTCGGCATGCACGACAAAAGACCTCCTACGTGTGCGAGAGACCCCTCCTACCTGGCGGCAGCTGTAACGCGGGAGCGGATGTCTAATGGCGAGGGCAAACCAAAAGGCAGCGCAAAAACGCAATGTTCTCTGCTCAAATCACATTGTGTACCAAACTGAAAAACGGCGAGCGAGATCGTGCCCGCCTTCAAGTCGTCGACATGACATCGACGGCCGACGCAGCACGTTTGCTGAGGCAACGACCATGACAGCTAACAAGAAATTCTCCCCAAACGCGGATAAAGAGGTCATTCATTCACCCCACCACGAACCTTTGCCAAGAGGAGACGGGGGGCTCAAAAGGCGCGTCTACACTCGGTCGGCGTGACGGCAAAGACTTCCTACGTCTACGAGTGACCTCGGACCTTTTGATCCACTGGAGGAAGCATGAGAGTTTGTGGTGGCGATGCCAGGAGAGTGGGGGTCGGCCCGGGTGTCTGATGGCGAGAACATACCAAGAGGCAGTGCACCGAAGCAAGGCCATTCTTTACTCGAACCAGCACGTCTTCCAAGATAGGTGCGTGGGATCGTCGCCGCCTTTAACTCGTCGACATGACTCCGATATAATGCGCATCATATTTGCTGCGGCAATACATGGCCATGGCCGTTGCCAATAATTTCTCAACAAACACGGATCCAAGGCAATAATTCACAGACCTCGAAGCTTTGCCCGCCTCGGAAGTCGCGTCCACACTCGGTCGGCGTGCACGACGAAGACTTCCTTCGTCTACGAGTAACCTCTTACCTCTGGGTCCACTGGAGGGCGCGTGGGAGCTGGTGGCGACGTTACCGTGAGAGTGGTTGTCGGCCTGGGTGTCTGATGGCGAGAACATACCAAGAGGCAGCGCACCAACGCAAGATCGTTCTCTGCTCAAATCGGCAGTTCTACCAAACATGGAACACACGGGATCGTGCCGGTCTTCAACTCGTCGACAGGACTCCGATGTGACACGGAGTACAATTGCTGGGGTAACCATGACCGTTGCCAAGAGTTTCTCATTAAACACGGATGGAGAGGTCATTCATTCATACGACCACGAAGTTTTGCCCGGCCTCGGGAGTCGCACCCATACTCGGTCGGCGTGCACGACACGGACTTCCTACGTCTACGAGTGACCTCTTACCTCGGGGTCCACTGGAGGACGCGTGGGCGTTGGTGGTAGCGATACCAGGAGAGTGGGGGTCGGCGCGAGTGTCTGATGGCGAGAACATACCAAGAGGCAGCGCACCGAAACAAGGTCATTCTCTGCTCAAATTGGCAGGTCTACCAAACATGGAAGCGCGCACGGGATCGACCTCGCCTTCAACTCGTCGACTTGACTGCGATGTGACACGGAGTACAATTGCTGGGGTAACCATGACCGTTGCCAAGAGTTTCTCATTAAACACGGATGGAGAGGTCATTCATTCATACGACCACGAAGCTTTGCCCGGCCTCGGGAGTCGCGTCCACACTTGGTCGGCGTGCACGACACGGACTTCCTACGTCTACGAGTGACTTCGTACCTGTGGGTCCACGTGTGGACGCGTGGGAGTTGGTGGAGGTGATACAGGGATAGCGGGGGTCGGCTCTATTGGGAGAGCGGTTGTCGGCTGAGCGGTTGTCGACCCGGGTGTCTGATGGCGAGAGAACACCAAGAAGCAACGCACCGACGCAAGGTCGTTCTCTGCTCAAATCACCGTGTTTCTCAAAGGTGGAAAGGGTGCACGGGATCGTGCTCGCCTTCGACTCGTCGACATGACTCCGATGTGATACGTAGTACAGTTGCTGCGGCGACATCAGGACGGTTGACAAGAGTTGCTTCCCAAACACGGATTAAGAGGTCATTCATTCACACGACCACGAAGCTTTGCCCTACTTTGGGAGTCGCATCCACACTCGGTCGGCGTGCACGACTAAGACGTCGCGCGTCTACGAGTGGCCCCTTACCTGTGGATTCACTGGAGGACGCGTGGGCGTTGGTGGCGGCGTTTGCGGGCGAAAGGATGGTGGCAGCGTTACCGTGAGAGCGTCTGTCGGCCCGGGCGTCTGATGGCCAGCGAACACCAAGAGGCAGCGCGCCGAATCAAGGTCGTCATTTGCACAAATCAGCATGTTCCTCAAAGATGGGAAGGGTGCATGGGATCGTGCCCGCCTTCGACTCGTCGACAAGACTCCGATGTGATACACAGGACATTTGCTGCGGCGACATCAGGGCAATCGTTTGGAGGTTCTCCCCAAACGCAGATCAAATGTCATTCATTCATACGACCCCGAAGCTTTGCCCGGCCTCGGGAGTCGCACCCACACTCGGTCGGCGTGCAAGACACGGACTTCCTATGTCTACGAGTGGCCCCTTACCTGTGGGTCCGCTGGAGGGCGCGTGGGAGCTGGTTGCGGCGTTACCATGAAAGCGGTTTTCGGCCCGGGTGTCTGATGGCGGGAACAAACCAAGAGGCAGCGCGCCGAAGCAAGGTCGTCATTTGCACAAATCAGCATGTTCCTCAAAGATGGGAAGGGTGCACGGGATCGTGCCCGCCTTCGACTCGTCGACATGACTCCGATGTGATACACAGGACATTTGCTGCGGCGACATCAGGGCAGTCGTTTGGAGGTTCTCCCCAAACGCAGATCAAACGTCATTCATTCATACGACCCCGAAGCTTTGTCCGGCCTCGGGAGTCGCACCCACACTCGGTCTGCGTGCACGACACCGACTGCCTACGTCTACGAGTGGCCCCTTACCTGTGAGTCCGCTGGAGGGCGCGTGGGAGCTGGTTGCGGCGTTACCATGAAAGCGGTTGTCGGCCCGGGTGTCTGATGGCGAGAACAAACCAAGAAGCAACGCGCCGAAGCAAGGTCGTCATTTGCACAAATCAGCGTGTTCTTCAAAGCTGGGAAGGGTGCACGGGATCGTGCCCGCCTTCGACTCGTCGACAGGACTCCGATGTGATACACAGGACATTTGCTGCGGCGACATCAGGGCAATCGTTTGGAGGTTCTCCCCAAACGCAGATCAAATGTCATTCATTCATACGACCCCGAAGCTTTGCCCGGCCTCGGGAGTCGCACCCATACTCGGTCGGCGTGCAAGACACAGAATTCCTATGTCTACGAGTGACCTCTTACCTCGGGGTCCACTGGAGGACGCGTGGGCGTTGGTGGTAGCGGCGTTACCGTGAGAGCGGGGGTCGGCGCGAGTGTCTGATGGCGAGAACATACCAAGAGGCAGCGCACCGAAACAAGGTCATTCTCTGCTCAAATTGGCAGGTCTACCAAACATGGAAGCGCGCACGGGATCGACCTCGCCTTCAACTCGTCGACTTGACTGCGATGTGACACGGAGTACAATTGCTGGGGTAACAACCATGACCGTTGCCAAGAGTTTCTCATTAAACACGGATGGAGAGGTCATTCATTCATACGACCCCGAAGCTTTGCCCGGCCTCGGGAGTCACACCCACACTTGGTCTGCGTGCACGACACCGACTGCCTACGTCTACGAGTGGCCCCTTACCTGTGGGTCCGCTGGAGGGCGCGTGGGAGCTGGTTGCGGCGTTACCATGAAAGCGGTTTTCGGCCCGGGTGTCTGATGGCGGGAACAAACCAAGAGGCAGCGCGCCGAAGCAAGGTCGTCATTTGCACAAATCAGCATGTTCCTCAAAGATGGGAAGGGTGCACGGGATCGTGCCCGCCTTCGACTCGTCGACATGACTCCGATGTGATACACAGGACATTTGCTGCGGCGACATCAGGGCAGTCGTTTGGAGGTTCTCCCCAAACGCAGATCAAACGTCATTCATTCATACGACCCCGAAGCTTTGTCCGGCCTCGGGAGTCGCACCCACACTCGGTCTGCGTGCACGACACCGACTGCCTACGTCTACGAGTGGCCCCTTACCTGTGAGTCCGCTGGAGGGCGCGTGGGAGCTGGTTGCGGCGTTACCATGAAAGCGGTTGTCGGCCCGGGTGTCTGATGGCGAGAACAAACCAAGAAGCAACGCGCCGAAGCAAGGTCGTCATTTGCACAAATCAGCGTGTTCTTCAAAGCTGGGAAGGGTGCACGGGATCGTGCCCGCCTTCGACTCGTCGACAGGACTCCGATGTGATACACAGGGCATTTGCTGCGGCGACATCAGGGCAATCGTTTGGAGGTTCTCCCCAAACGCAGATCAAATGTCATTCATTCATACGACCCCGAAGCTTTGCCCGGCCTCGGGAGTCGCACCCACACTCGGTCGGCGTGCAAGACACAGACTGCCTATGTCTACGAGTGACCTCTTACCTCGGGGTCCACTGGAGGACGCGTGGGCGTTGGTGGTAGCGGCGTTACCGTGAGAGCGGGGGTCGGCGCGAGTGTCTGATGGCGAGAACATACCAAGAGGCAGCGCACCGAAACAAGGTCATTCTCTGCTCAAATTGGCAGGTCTACCAAACATGGAAGCGCGCACGGGATCGTGCTCGCCTTCAACTCGTCGACTTTGACTCCGATGTGACACGGAGTACAATTGCTGGGGTAACAACCATGACCGTTGCCAAGAGTTTCTCATTATACACGGATGGAGAGGTCATTCATTCATACGACCACGAAGCTTTGCCCGGCCTCGGGAGTCGCGTCCACACTCGGTCGGCCTTCACGACTAAGACGTCGCGCGTCTACGAGTGACCTCGCACCTGTGGGTCCACGGGTGGACGCGTGGGCGTTGGTGGCCGCGATACCGGGAGAGCGGGGGTCGGCTCTATTGGGGGGCCCGTTGTCGGCTGAGCGGTTGTCGGCCCGGGCGTCTGATGGCGAGAGAACACCAAGAAGCAACGCACCGACGCAAGGTTGTTCTCTGCTCAAATCAGCAGGTCTTCCAAAGATGGGTGGCCGCGATCGTGCCCGCCTTCGACTCGTCGACATGACTCCGATGTGATACGTAGTACAGTTGCTGCGGCGACATCAGGGCAGTCGTTTGGAGGTTCTCCCCAAACGCAGATCAAATGCCATTCATTCATACGACCCCGAAGCTTTGCCCGGCCTCGGGAGTCACACCCACACTTGGTCTGCGTGCACGACACCGACTGCCTACGTCTACGAGTGGCCCCTTACCTGTGGGTCCACTGGAGGGCGCGTGGGAGCTGGTTGCGGCGTTACCATGAAAGCGGTTGTCGGCCCGGGTGTCTGATGGCGAGAACAAACCAAGCGGCAGCGCGCCGAAGCAAGGTCGTCATTTGCACAAATCAGCATGTTCCTCAAAGATGGGAAGGGTGCACGGGATCGTGCCCGCCTTCGACTCGTCGACAGGACTCCGATGTGATACACAGGACATTTGCTGCGGCGACATCAGGGCAATCGTTTGGAGGTTCTCCCCAAACGCAGATCAAATGTCATTCATTCATACGACCCCGAAGCTTTGCCCGGCCTCGGGAGTCGCACCCACACTCGGTCTGCGTGCAAGACACGGACTGCCTATGTCTACGAGTGACCTCTTACCTCGGGGTCCACTGGAGGACGCGTGGGCGTTGGTGGTAGCGGCGTTACCGTGAGAGCGGGGGTCGGCGCGAGTGTCTGATGGCGAGAACATACCAAGAGGCAGCGCACCGAAACAAGGTCATTCTCTGCTCAAATTGGCAGGTCTACCAAACATGGAAGCGCGCACGGGATCGACCTCGCCTTCAACTCGTCGACAGGACTCCGATGTGACACGGAGTACAATTGCTGGGGTAACAACCATGACCGTTGCCAAGAGCTTCTCATTATACACGGATGGAGAGGTCATTCATTCATACGACCACGAAGCTTTGCCCGGCCTCGGGAGTCGCGTCCACACTCGGTCGGCCTTCACGACTAAGACGTCGCGCGTCTACGAGTGACTTCTTACCTGTGGATTCACTGGAGGACGCGTGGGCGTTGGTGGCGGCGTTTGCGGGCGAAAGGATGGTGGCAGCGTTACCGTGAGAGCGTCTGTCGGCCCGGGCGTCTGATGGCCAGCGAACACCAAGAGGCAGCGCGCCGAATCAAGGTCGTCATTTGCACAAATCAGCATGTTCCTCAAAGATGGGAAGGGTGCATGGGATCGTGCCCGCCTTCGACTCGTCGACAAGACTCCGATGTGATACACAGGACATTTGCTGCGGCGACATCAGGGCAATCGTTTGGAGGTTCTCCCCAAACGCAGATCAAATGTCATTCATTCATACGACCCCGAAGCTTTGCCCGGCCTCGGGAGTCGCACCCACACTCGGTCGGCGTGCAAGACACGGACTTCCTATGTCTACGAGTGGCCCCTTACCTGTGGGTCCGCTGGAGGGCGCGTGGGAGCTGGTTGCGGCGTTACCATGAAAGCGGTTTTCGGCCCGGGTGTCTGATGGCGGGAACAAACCAAGAGGCAGCGCGCCGAAGCAAGGTCGTCATTTGCACAAATCAGCATGTTCCTCAAAGATGGGAAGGGTGCACGGGATCGTGCCCGCCTTCGACTCGTCGACATGACTCCGATGTGATACACAGGACATTTGCTGCGGCGACATCAGGGCAGTCGTTTGGAGGTTCTCCCCAAACGCAGATCAAATGTCATTCATTCATACGACCCCGAAGCTTTGTCCGGCCTCGGGAGTCGCACCCACACTCGGTCTGCGTGCAAGACACAGACTGCCTACGTCTACGAGTGACCTCTTACCTCGGGGTCCACTGGAGGACGCGTGGGCGTTGGTGGTAGCGGCGTTACCGTGAGCAGCGGGGGTCGGCGCGAGTGTCTGATGGCGAGAACATACCAAGAGGCAGCGCACCGAAACAAGGTCATTCTCTGCTCAAATTGGCAGGTCTACCAAACATGGAAGCGCGCACGGGATCGACCTCGCCTTCAACTCGTCGACAGGACTCCGATGTGACACGGAGTACAATTGCTGGGGTAACAACCATGACCGTTGCCAAGAGCTTCTCATTATACACGGATGGAGAGGTCATTCATTCATACGACCACGAAGCTTTGCCCGGCCTCGGGAGTCGCGTCCACACTCGGTCGGCCTTCACGACTAAGACGTCGCGCGTCTACGAGTGACTTCGTACCTGTGGGTCCACGTGTGGACGCGTGGGCGTTGGTGGCGGCGATACCGGGAGAGAGGGGGTCGGCTCTATTGGGGGGCCGGTTGTCGGCTGAGCGGTTGTCGGCCCGGGCGTCTGATGGCGAGAGAACACCAAGAAGCAACGCACCGACGCAAGGTTGTTCTCTGCTCAAATCAGCAGGTCTTCCAAAGATGGGTGGCCGCGATCGTGCCCGCCTTCGACTCGTCGACATGACTCCGATATGATGCACAGGACATTTGCTGCGGCGACATCAGGGCAGTCTTTTGGAGGTTCTCCCCAAACGCAGATCAAATGCTATTCATTCATACGACCCCGAAGCTTTGCCCGGCCTCGGGAGTCACACCCACACTTGGTCTGCGTGCACGACACCGACTGCCTACGTCTACGAGTGGCCCCTTACCTCGGGGTCCGCTTGAGGGCGCGTGGGAGCTGGTTGCGGCGTTACCGTGAGAGCGGTTGTCGGCCCGGGTGTCTGATGGCGAGAACAAACCAAGAAGCAACGCGCCGAAGCAAGGTCGTCATTTGCACAAATCAGCATGTTCCTCGAAGATGGGAAGGGTGCACGGGATCGTGCCCGCCTTCGACTCGTCGACAGGACTCCGATGTGATACACAGGACATTTGCTGCGGCGACATCAGGGCAATCGTTTGGAGGTTCTCCCCAAACGCAGATCAAATGTCATTCATTCATACGACCCCGAAGCTTTGCCCGGCCTCGGGAGTCGCACCCACACTCGGTCGGCGTGCACGACACGGACTGCCTACGTCTACGAGTGGCCCCTTACCTCGGGGTCCACTGGAGGGCGCGTGGGAGCTGGTTGCGGCGTTACGGTGAGAGCCGTTGTCGGCCCGGGTGTCTGATGGCGAGAACAAACCAAGAGGCAGCGCGCCGAAGCAAGGTCGTCATTTGCACAATTCAGCATGTTCCTCAAAGATGGGAAGGGTGCACGGGATCGTGCCCGCCTTCGACTCGTCGACAGGACTCCGATGTGATACACAGGACATTTGCCGCGGCGACATCAGGGCAATCGGTTGGAGGTTCTCCCCAAACGCAGATCAAATGTCATTCATTCATACGACCCCGAAGCTTTGCCCGGCCTCGGGAGTCGCACCCACACTTGGTCGGCGTGCACGATTAAGACTTGCTACGTGATGAGTATCACATTTTCTGCGGCAACAGAACATGACCGTTGACAAGAGTTTTCTCACCAAACGGTGATCAACAGGTTATTCATGCAGACGACCGCGATCTTTTGCCCGGACTCACAAGCCGCGTCCAAACTCGGTCGGCGTGCAAGACAAAGAGTTCTTACGTCTACGAGTGACGTCATACCTGTGCGTGCACTGGAGGACCCGTGACAGTTGGCAGTGGTGATACCGGGAGAGTGGGGGTCGGCCCATGTGTCTGATGGAGAGAACAAACCAAGAGGCAGCGCACCGAAGCAAGGTCGTTCTCTGCTCAAATCAGCACGTCTTTCAAATATGGGAAGGGCGCGTGGGATCGTAGCCGCCCTCAACTCGTCGATATGACTCCGATGTGATACGTACTGTATTTGCTGCGGAGACGTCAGAATACACGTTTAGAGTTTCTAAACAAACGGTGATCAACAGGTCGTTCATGCACGCCACCCCCGAACCTTCTCCCAGCCTCGGAAGTCGCGTCCACACTCGGTCGGCGTGCAGGACGAAGAAATCCTACGTCTACGAGTGACCTCTTACGTGCGGTTCCACTGGAGGACGCGTGGGAGTTGGTGCCGGCGATTCCTGGAGAACAGTAGTCGGCCCCGGTGTCTGATGGCGAGGACAAACCAACAGGCAGCGCACCGAAACAAGGTCGTTCTCTGCTCAAATCAGCACATCTACCAAATAGGGAACGGGTGTGCGGGATCGCGCCCGCGTTCAATTCGTCGACATGACTCCGATGTAACACGTAATCACGTTTTCTGCGGCAACACTCATGACAGTTGACAAGAGTTTCTTCCCAATCACGGATTGAGAGGTCATTCATTCACACGACCACGTGCCCAGAGGAGAGTGGGGCCTCGAAAGGTGGGTACACAAATGGTCTGCGTGCGGGACAAATTCTCCCTCGCTCAGGAGGGATCTCCTCTTACCTGTGGGTCCACTGGAGTAGGAGTCGGGATTCGTGGCGTCGCCAGGGTTGGCGATGGGCTTGGCGCCTCTGTTGCCGGTGAGGTAGAAGATGTTAAACGCGCCGAATTCGGCGGCGTCGGGGCCGGGGTCTGCTCCAGCATGGGTTCCAAGGCCTGGGCCAGGCCGTTTGCGCCCTGATAAAAGCAGCAATCAAAACATACATACGACGAAGGAACTGCCTTTACAGCCTTTTAGGCTTCTTTAGCTCACCGGATAGATGAAATTGAAGGTGTAGCTTCGTTTGGTGGTGCCGTGTTTCATGCAGAGAGGGCGCAAGAGAAAGCCGAAACAGCGGTGTAGGCGCTAGCCCGGATCATGCCGGGATCGTGCCATGAAGATTATGTCGTAAAGGGGATGCCGTGCAATATCTCAAAGAACCTTCTGTTTGTTCACAGAGAGTGCTACTTAGGCGCCTGTTCCGGTCTCTCGCTGCTTCCGACGTACGACAACTCCTGGAGTGCACAGGGAAACATTAGTACGCGGGATGCTCTCACGGTTTAGCATGCGCGAGGTGTCCGTTCCTTTTTCGAAAAGTGATTGTTTTCTGTTCTGCTTCGCTTGAGAATAGACTAATGTGTGAAGCCCTGAAAATAATTTTCAGCACACAGCTTGTGCACATCACGCAGACGACGATTCAATCGAATGATTCGCTGCTGACCAAATCTACTCCGACAGAGAGCAAGGAACCGAGAGCACATCCTGGCCTGCCTGGCTTCCATCAGTGGCTTGGGGATCGAGAAACAAGTTGCGGTGTCCTCCAGTCTCTGACAAAAATCGGCTCTGTTTGCTGTAACTGTAGTCTAATGGCGTTTTGGCCTGTTGCGGCGTCTTCATGTTTGGTGCGATGCGAAACGACTTTCGCATGCGTGCCGAGTGGCCATCAACAACCAGCGTGCAGAATAGCATACCCTTCAGCGTAGGGTTGCTCGGAGCCCTTGATGGGAGTGATACATGCGTCAAGAACTCAGGTTGCACTCGTTGATTGCGTCGTTTGGGTTCGATCTACACCCGGGTTCGATCTACACCCGACCCACTGTCAGGGTATTTTCGTGTCCATGTAGACAGCCAAGTTTTATCCCTTCTGTCTTCATGAATGGTGGTCGAGTAGATTATGTTGTGCGGGGTCGAGAACCCCCACTCCGCGCAAAGGGGATCATCGCACTGCGTTGTGTTAAATTAGCCAAGCACCCTCGAGGCAGTTTCACAGGGCTTACAATTGTCTCTGGAAGTGAAAGCACCAGAAAATACATCAGGTCATACGCAGCTGCCATCCGTACGCAAGGAAGTAAGCACAAGATGCTGAACACCCATAGCAGGGTGGAGCGCATCCTTCAAGCGACTCGCCGAGTACCTCACAGAGCTTCGCGCTTGGTTGTGTGAGAGCCTGGTCCGGTGAGAACCCGGCGTGCTCCGTCCCGGCTTTGTAGGGGTGCGAGGTCAATGGTCTAACGACAGCATGTACCACTATGAGTACACCCCGCCCCGCCCGTCCGTCCGGAATTGCCATCGGGGTTGGGTGTTCGTCGCTGGCAACGACGTTGTAAAACAAGCCGATCACTTGGTGAGCTCGTCAACCAGGCTACCGCTTTTGTTTGTTCCTTTTTTTTTTTCGGTAGCCATGAATGGTGGTCGAGACGATTATGTTGTGCGGGCCGAGAACCCTCACTCCGCGCAAAGGGGATAATCGCACCGCGTTCGCTGGGTCTAGGCTGGACTGTCAGATTTTTTTTTTTGCGCCAAAAACAAAAATGAGAGCGAGAGCGAGCGGGAGAGAGAGAAGTTCAGAGAAAGACACCAGTGTACTTCTGCACACGCAACAGCTATCTCCACCTGTAGGCCATGAGAGAAGCCGGCGACAGGGTGGTGGCCACAGACAGGGTCGTAGAAAGGTTGATGGGTGGTCGCGCTGCGGTCAGTAGGGCAGGTTAGCTGTGTAGACTTTGAAATGATCAGTCGTCTAGCTGCCTCAACTAGTCTATTTTCGGTATATTGTAAATGATCAGTCCAGAGAGGGCAAAATGATCAGTGAAGACCCATAGGTGGTATTTGTACTTCTGTACTTCTCTGTTCTCTGTCCCCCCCCCGAAATGTGCCCTGCCAGCTCTCTAGAGCTCCTGTGTTTTTCAAACAACAAGCACATCCACCAGCACACATCTGTACCTCGTGGTTTCCTAGGTTCGGGCGAGGGTGGTATGTGTGGCGGTACGAGTGTGGATGTGCTGCTGATATGTTTTACTCGTCTACAGCAATAGTAGTAGTGTCGTTGTAGCGTTCGTTGTATTATAGCTGCTGACACAATGACTGCTGGATCTTGGGAACGATTTTCAAATTGTTGGGAACCAACCACAATATCCTCGATATCTGGGCTTCGGCAGGGATTGCGATACCCCTCCCTTTTGCTGCCCTCTGCTCTTTGCAGCAGTGGTTTCCTATACGTTCGGGCGAGTGTATGTGTGGTGCTGCGAAAGAACACGTATATATGTTTGTATGTATGCACACACGAGTTCATGTGCATACATACGTTGAGAGATTCATGATTTGGCATTGATTGGCCCCATTCCCATTCCCGAGACCTTGATATTTCCCGCTGTCACTGACGTCTCTTCATTGGTCAGCCGGTTAGCGCGGGTGCTAATAATCTAGACACACCTATGGACTTGCCACTACACGGCGCGAAGGGCTGCAGGGCGGCAACTCCACGACTTGCCACTACAACACCAGCATTTGCAAATGATCAATCAATGATCAGTGAGAACGCCTGAAGACTCAAAAGGGTTAAATTGGTCAAGCACCCTCGAGGCAGCAACACAGCGCTATAACTGTCTCTAGAAGTGAAGCACCAGGAAATATCTCACGCCATATGCAGCTGCCATCCGTACCCAAGGAAGTGAGCACAAGATGCCGAACACCCTCAGCAGGATGCAGCGCACCATTCAAGCGACTCGCCGAGTACCTCACGGAGCTTCGCGCTGGGTGATGTGAGAGCCTGGTTCGGTGAGAACCCGGCGTGCTCCGTCCCGGCTGTGTAGGGATGCGAGGTTAGCGGTCTAACGACTAAGGCATGCACGACGATGAGTACACCCCCCCCCACCGGGGGTAGGGGGGGCGATGCTTCACCCGTGGTTCTTTGAGGAGGAAATTGGCGTGATTGCCGCAGCAGAGGTGGGCGGCGTGATGTTCGAGGTTGACTGTAAATAAATGGGGGTGGACTCGTGGACTCCATGCGGGTTTTCAGCAAGGACACGCTGCAGGCAACATCTCTACGCCTGTTCGAAACTGCGCGCTGTTGTACACTACGCAATTGGCAGTTGTTCAAAAGGAGTGGAGTCAGGGTTGCAGCGCGACACGTCCGTACTGCTGTATGTACTGTACGTACATAGACTACACGAACTGCAGAAAATATTTCGTGATAGCTGCTGCACGCGGCACGTGGTCGCCACAACGTAAGCAACACCGAAACCAGACGTGAACCGTCGTCAAGTGCAGGTGTGACAATACCACGCAATGACTCAGTACACGCCGTCGTTGCTGCACGGAAGTTCGTTTGATATGTGGTGGCCACAACGCTATGTAGGCATTCCGTCGCACTTGTTGCAACGTGTTGAGAAGCACGACGACCACTACACCACTAGTCAGCTAACGTCCGGGGTTCGAATCTACATAAATTTCTTTGCGCCCGAATTGTATGAGGAAGAAAAAAGTCTGGGAAAATAGGCTTCGCAAAACACGCCGATGAACCTCTTGTACCGATAGCCATTTCCGGGCAAGACAGCGCTGATCACAGGGATGGCAACCCTGGGGGGACGTGTTCGTGGCTGCAAAGCCAGATCGGACACGGGCATTAACATTTGTTGAGAAGCACGATGACCACTAGTCTACACCAATAGTCAGCGCTGACTATTGGTGTAGTGGTCATCGTGCTTCTCATAACGCATAGATTATACTCCGTGGCCCGATACAAAAAAGGACACCCCCATGTGACGTACAGCAGCATGAGCGCCTGGTCGCCACACCCGTCAAAACAACACCAAAGCAAGCTAACGCGACCTACTGTCGACAAATGCACTCATGGCAAGGTGTCACAGTAGCACGTAAAGGTCCGGTACATGTCGCCGTTGCTGCACCAAAGTTCGGGAGACATGTGGTTGCCACAACGATATGTAGGCATTCCGCAAAAAATAACCGCGGCCCCAACTTTGGTGCATTCAACTGAAAATAAAAACGAAGTCTGTCTCGCGGTGACATCCTGTGAATTACTGTAGTGCATACATTACATGAAACTTCCACAAAACTGCAAAATGTGATACTGTTTTTTTTTGTTTTTTTTTGTCTTCACTTCAAATCAGCGCTCACAGCACTAGACTAGTGCTGTTTACTCCAAGCCGTGGTCACACAGAAGAGCCCCTCTCTACCCTCCCCTCTTGCGGTACTTTGCCTTCGATTTTTAATGCGAGAAGAGTTCAGCACTCTCTTCCCTCTGTGTACACACGAACTATAATAGCGCTATCCACTAGGCCAGAAGCGGAAGCGAGAGAAAAACTCACTTTGCAAGAAAAGCTCGCTTACGCCGGGACTCGAACCCCTGACCTGGCCTCTAGAAGGTTTCGAGGATACCAACTAGACCACCGGGGCGACCGGCTTACTGTAACAGCTCGGGAAGAGGGGGGAGGAGGGGACTCACAGGGGAACTCACGTCTGGCTCTTTTTCCTGATACGACGCGACACCACACGATTCAAGCCGCCGAAGCAGAAGACGTCGGATGGCGATTCGAGGTGTTCGTGTCAGGAGAGAGATGGAGTGGTGTGGCGTTTGAGAGAGAGGGTCACGATGTTTCCGATTGTGGTGTGGCGTTGAAGGAGGTGCGGAGTCCATGGAATAGAGGTTGGTCCGCAGCTGACTTCAGGAAGAAGAGCGTTGCCACTGATGACTGGTGATAATCTCTTGTGGCTGATGGACAGGAGATTAGACTGCTGTGCGAAACACTCACAAAATGTCTTTTCCCACGGTGCTTCATCGTTGATTTAGGCTGCTGTGCGAAACACTCACAATGTCTTTTCCCGCGGTGCTTCATCGTTCTCGGTTTTATACAGTAGCCGTCGGGAGGTGTTCAGTTTCATGTGGAGGTGCACCTCAGCAGTTGTCGATTTGGCGACCGTCATCACACATCTCGGCAATGCTCTTCATCAGCGGTCCGAACTTTAGGTCACAATCCATGTTGATTGCTTCCCTCAACGTGACGTACACAACCGCGAACAACATG